ATGAACATGATGAAGCTGCATAAAAATCATCTGACTCTGTAAGAACTTTTTTCAGATTTAGTTTTATGTGGAATGACACAGCTGCCCTTACAAAGCACCTACTACTGCGTGACTACTTTGTTGTAATATTGCACCTTCAGCCGTGCTCATAATCTATAGACTATAATGAGCCGTCACAGTCTGTGCACTCTGGGCACCCAGAGCTTGTTTATGCTTGTGCAGGACACCGTGACCCTCCTTCCACTGCAGAGGATTGTGGGTGAGACTGGTTCAAAAACATGCCGGCTTGCATTGTGCAAAATGCGACTGCGTGTAGTCAGACGTCCAGGTTCTTCTGGCATCATGCATTTGACACACTCCAGCATGTTCTGGGACATACTGAATAGTTTTTTGGTGTGTTATATAGTACAGTAGTACGAGTGCTGGAACACACCCGAGCTTCATGTGACTTTCATCCTTTTGAGGCAACATCCTGAAGACAAACCTGAACTTAAAAAGTTGAAGAAAGTCACCTAAATGTGTCACAAGTTCATCGAAACTAATATATATTGTTTAAAACTACACTATGATATTATATTGTTTAATTTTAAGGGTGAAGAGGAAAAGCACCTTCAAATCTTACTTCAACACTTCGAGGTATTGAGATCGTACAATCCTATAAACATCCTCCTTCTCCATGTTACATACTACATGGGCGTGGATTTCAATCAGTGTCTTTTTCAAACCAGTGAGACGTGAATCAGCTCACCGTGAGCACAGCGATGAGGGCTCCCTGCAGCAGCCCCACCAGGACGTCACTGTAGTGGTGTTTGTAGTCAGAAACTCTTGTGTACGCAACATAGACGGCAAACGCCACCAGGAAGAACTGGATGGTGGGTCGGACCAGCCTCGTCCACTTTCCCTGCATCCTGGCCTGGATGTAGAGCTGCACACACACAAACACGCAGAGTCGTACATCAGCTGGTAACCCGATCTACAGAAGAACCTCGGATTCATTAACTGCACGTTGACAAGAGGATGTGCCATTTAAACATATGCTTTTAATTAATACCAACACATAAACATCTGCATTTATTTGGACAAAAGAATCTTTTTCTATTTGTATATTTATGAATTGTTTATTCTACAGTTGATATATAAACATCTTACTCAACCCTGATTCTAAAAATTTTTTTTTCTTAAGTTTTTGCTTTATTTTTTATTCCATTTTTGTGTTTTAAAAAAAAGGCAGAAATTAATCTTTAAACTCTCTTCAGCATAGTCCCAAGGTTTCCTTAAATACAATAAAAACACACATATTTGATAAATATTCCTGGTAAATTCTCATCACTGCCATTGATTATAAAACCATCTATAATATACAAACTGTTCTAAATTCATTCAGTCATGTTTTAGAGCACAATCCTTCCCTGACTCCTCCGGTAGACGTTGATGTAATAAATCCCTCTGCAGCTCAAGTCTTCCAGTATTTCACTCCTGAAAACTCTCAACATTAAATCTGTCACCTTCCGGCCATTGTACAGAGCGTAGTATGACAACAATGGTGTTTTTTTCTAAGCGTTCCACAACCTTCTCCTGTTTTGGCTCACTTGCGTGTGTTTTTTGGTAAACAGTCTTTTCAGAGCTGCGGAAAAACGAAGAGACGCACTCACCGACAGAAAGAGCATGCAGTACATCCCGAAGGACGAGTGGCCGGAGTAGAACGACAACCTGAGGAGAGAAAGAGCAGAGAAAAAAAAAGACTTGTTTATTTCAACTATAAGAGATAACGAATACGAGTAAGGACTAGAGTCAGACACGTTCATCAGTTTGCAAACATGCAGTTGGATGCATGCAAGAGCTTTTAACCCAGCTACAGATTTATGTCATCAAATACACAAAATCCTAATAGAACACAATAAGACATTCAGTTTGATACAACTCGTACATGAACACAATGACTGAAATTATTATCTTCCAAAAGGATTTATGCAACCACGGACCTCGTTTTCTGCATCACATCACTGTGGACTGAATGTTATGAATATTGGTTAGACAAAGAAAGAAATGTTCACACATCACTCTGAGTAACTTGCAATAAACATTTGCGATTGTTTCCAACATTTTAATTTATATGGAGGTAATGTCCAAACCGGTTGATGATTTCTAGTCATTTTTATTATCTAGAGCAGTCAAAGTCCTCAAGACATGAATCCAAGAGCTGTGGCTCAGGTGGTAGAGCGAGTCGGTCAATGATCGGAAGGTCGGCGGTTCGATTCCGCCCTGTAACCTGTTTCATGGTCGTTGTGTCCTTGGGCAAGACACTTCACCCACCTTGCCTGGTGTGAATGCGTATGAATGGATTGTTTGAGGTGGTGGTCGGAGCCACGCCTCTGTCAGTCTGCCCCAGGGCAGCTGTGGCTACAATCGTAGCTACCACCACCAGAATGAATGTGTGTGAACGAATAATTGACAGTGTAAAGTGTCTTTGAGTGTCCAGAAAAGCGCTTTATAAATCTGATCAATTATTATTATTTATTATAAAATCCACTCCATCTATCCAATGTGGGAATAGTTATTCAGAAAACTCGTGGTTATTTAGGTTTTATATAAAAGAAAAAAGCAGAATATTCACAGATGGCAGCTTTTTAAGTGTGAAGATTTGACTTAGTTTGATCTAATAGTTTTTTTTAAGTTACTTTTTTTTGCCTTTATTTGACAGTACAGTGGAGACAGTGACAGGAAAGTGGGAGAGAAGAATAGGGGAAGGACTTGCAGCAAAGGGTTATGAGCAGGACTTGAACTTCAGCCCCTGTACCTGGGACACCAGCTCAACCAGGTGAGCTGTCATGGCGCCTATTTTATCAACTTTATATAAACTCAATAATAAAACATTACAAGTTACCATCTTAAATAGTTTATATCACCCACAAAATGCCTAATTTTTTTTTCAGGTCACGTGTCTCAAATCTGGCAGGAAAAGACGACGTCTTAAAGATTTTGGTGACAAACTGGTCAAATATGAACTCTTATTTTGGACAATGTAGTTGCTTTCCAAGCACCAAATGTTTTAGCTGATTTCGGTTCTTTTTCTTTGATGCACTTTGTATGAAGGTAACTGATAAATATGAAGCATTCACAGCAATATTTTTCAGAGCATCCTCCCTTTAACTCTGCTGAGGGAGGTGCGGTGCTGAGTCAGCCCACCTGGATTCAGTCACATTGCGCGGGTTGCCGGTACAGTTGATCTGCAGCATGTATCCGGTACAGCTGACCGGGGCGCACACCGATAAGAAGTTCGGACGAGGACGACCTATGGTGAACTTCGCCAAGTCAGTCAGCGATTGGCTGACGGCTCCTCCGAACAGGAAGGTCCCCACTATCTTGTAGAGCGCCGACAGGTACTGGTTGAACTGGGAGTTGGAGTGCAGACGTTTGGTGTGCACCAGGTACGCCTCACCTGTAGTGATCTGAGGAGGGAAGGGAAAGATATAATCAGTAGTTTGCAGGATATTTGGGAAACAACGCCTCGGTCTGTTGTGAAATGTAAATGGATCGTCATGTTCAGGGACTCACGATGACGATGGAGCAGGTGATGGTGACTGCAGCCATGGCTCCGTGGGAGATGGTGTCTCTCCTGTAGGGGTAGTTGATGGTCGTGTCATCGCAGTAGATTCCTCTCTGGTAAGGATTGAACATCAGCGTGAGGATCGCCGAGGGCAGAGCCGCTGGAGGAAAAAAAAACAGATGATGGTGTGACTGTTTAATGAGCACTGACAGAATGAAATTTGAATATTACAAGTCAATACTAGTCGAAGTTTCTTGACAGCCAAAAGGTTGCCAGCGACCTGTTAAAGCTAGTCGTAGCCACACTGCTAAACACACTCATCATCAGAAACTAAAAGTCGAATGCATGCATTTCTTTGTTAGAAGCTTTACCATTTAGGTATGCCTCTAAAATTCCATTTAAAGGGTTGATGTTAAGAGTTTAAAGTAAATTATGAACTACAAAGTCATCGGAGTGAAAACTAACAACTCAAACTCTATTTTTGTTGTGTTTCGTCCTGATCTTGCGCCAAAACCAAATCACTTTTTCCACCAGATAAAAAAAATGTTTAGTTTTTGCGATATCCTGCTGTCTACTAGACAAACAAAGAAACCGTTGTAGGCGCAAAACCGCAATCACAACACAGAGCAGATAAGGGAAAACCCTGCTAGATGATACGACTGCGGTCAGCGCTGCAAAAACAAGCATGACCAAAAATAAATGGATGCAGCAACGGCACTAAAACAAGAAGGTAGCTGCGGATGGGAACAGCGTCGCGTAACAAGAGATTGTTTTTCTATTTAAACTGGAGACTCTGAGCTGTAACAGTAACGCTGCTGTATTGTCAGAGCGTCCTGATCTTGAAGTGAACCGCAGCACAGCGATCTGCGGCTCAGGAAACAGCTAAAAACACACCGACCGACTCGTCTTCTGGCTTCGGCCACGAGATCCGACTCTGGCCAGTGAATGAATTTGTCATCGGTGGCAACAGCTTCACCTCCGCAGGTCGCTCTCTATGGAGGAACTGCCTGTCACCATGGAAACACGCGGGACACCACAGCCGTGAGCTTTGACCTCGGGTCACCGTTTGTACCGTGGAGGTCCTGGGAGCTGAGGACCGGACTCGGACACACACTCATGCAAACACGCTCGTACGCACACTCCTAAAAACAGGTTTGAGACATGCAGACGTCGTGTGTTTATGACAACGGCTTTGTTGTCTGTGTTTCTGTGAAAGACGGACGGTAAAAACTTTGGGTTTTAACAGTTTCTCACTGTGCAAACAAAAGAGCCGGCAGCAGGACGACATAAAGCTGTCTCCTAAATCTGAGGCGGGACAATAGTTCAATCTGGAGGGCTCATGTCAGAAACTTTCTACACTTCGACCTTTAAATAGTTTTCCTGTTTTCAAGAACTTCCTGCTGAACTGCTGAAGCTAAGAACAGCGAGGAATGGACGGAGTTTGTTTTCTCGAGCTGTATATTTGTTGGGTAACGGTATAAGAGCTGCTCTCTACAAACAGATCGCTTCCTTCCGTCAGCGCGTGATGAGCAGGACCGAACGAAACCCGAAAAAAGAAAGAGAGGTTGTACACGGGTTATTTTGGAGGGACAGTGATGTCATGTGAACATAAGTGGATGTTTTGTGGTTCAGAGCGTAAATTAAACGTGAGATCATGCACTCTGTGGCCGGCTGTCAGGTGTGAACGTTTACAACCAGCGATTCTTCTCCTCTGCTCACTGCTACGCACGAAAATAAAACTTTTATAGCGAAAAAAAAGTCCACAAAACTCACGACAAAAAGTGGAATTCCACATTTATTATGAATGTGTCACATATATAGGGCCTGTAAAAAGTATTTCCCCTGTGAAACCTTTTATTGCTTTGTTGGAGTTTTTTTTGGGACAAAATTTAGAAAAAAAAAAAAGACTCCTTCATGTCAAACAGATTGTTAGAAAAATTCAGCTAATTAAAAATATAAAAGGCGATTACATGAGCACCGTTACAGTGACTCACCTAATTCAACACAGGTGCGGCCAATGTATGCTAGAAGTCACACATTTAGTGATTATAGTATAAAGACAGCCGTATCTGGAAGGTCCAGTCACTGGTGAATCAGTACTTCTGACACCATGAAGACTAAAGAGCACTCTGTGAAAAGTTGTAAAGTCAGGGAACGGACACAAGAAAAGTCACTGAATGTTCCTTCGAGTGCAGTTAAATCTGCATTTAATAATAAATCCATTATTAAGAAATGAAGGGAATATTGCTCATGTGTAAACCTGCCTGGTGCCGACCGTCTTAAAAACTGGACCTGACATGATCTCCATGTAATACGTCAGGAGCTTGAGCAGTTCTACAAAACAGAATGGGTTCAAACTGCAGCGCTCAGATATGTCAGGGTGATTACGACCAATCCACACAGGCTGGGATCGCGGTGAATCCACTACAAATGGACTTAAGGGGGGTTATTAATTCTGTAATCACTTATTCTGTATTTATATTTTTAATTATAAGATGTTACTTCCGTTTTCAGTTTGACACAAAAGAGTCTTTGATGTAAATTCTTGTCAAAAAGTCGGAATTACTAAAAAATGATTTAATGTTGAAATACAATAAAAGGATAAATTGGGGGTAAATACTTTATTAATTAATATTTTTAATAACCATTTGTTGTACCAATAATGCATCATTCTTTGGCAGATTTGTGAAAATGTGGACACATTATGGTAGATATGATTTTTTGAGCGTCAGTATTTTCCTCTGCACAACACATCAGGGACCTCATTTTGTTCAAAACATCCTGAAAATGCAGCCTGTGGTGTTTTTGAACGGCTACATTTAGATTAGATTAAATTAGATAGAGCTTCTTTGATCCCTTTGGTCGGGTACCTCAGGGAAATTGTTGATGTTTGTCATTTTCATTTTCATTTGTTTGGAATTTTGCTGCTATTTTCAGGCTCAACATTTTTTATTTTATTTTATTGTTAAAAAATCAGCTTTGCAAATACTGATTAGTCCAATTTATTCTATACCTAGAAGTTTTTTAAAAATGGTCATAATGACTCAAACTAGGAAAAAATAAGGTCAATAGAACGCTCATAAAGTTTGGTGCCGCTACAGAACAGTGATCAGTGATCTTTGATCCATGTACAAGGAAATACACCATAAAACATACAAATAAAAAGTACAGATAACAACTTCAAAGGAGAATAATAACATACTATCTGTTAATATACACTTTTAGTTGTCTATTAATTGTTATGATGGCCCTCCTGAGAACTTAATCGTCATGTTTTTTATGTTCACTATATCACATACTGTTACACCATTAATTGATCTTTGTTCCATTTTATGGTGTTTTCTGCATCATATTCTCAGTTTACTGCAGTTTAACTGAAAACACTTGCAGCAACTAATGGAGTGACACAACTTTTTCAGTCATTTTTTAATAATATTGTGTCAGTGTTGCATCCTGAAAGCATCAGTTGAAGATTCCTGATTTAACTCAGATTCTTTGAGTCGAGCACTCGTTCATCCACTTCATGACACGTACCACGCTTATGGTTATACGATGCGAGACGCAGAAACTTGAGGCGGAGCTACATTTGTGTTATTGGACGAGAATTTACCTTTAAGCGTCTTGGCTTTGTGGGGAACCTGCATGTATGTGAAGAAGCAACACGTAGCTGCAGCCGCTGTGAAACGCATGCTGACAGGCAGGATTAAGAGTCAGCCATAAAGTGGCTCGATCGGTCTAATGCCGGGCTCAGACGACAGGAGTTTTAAAATCCTAACAGATTTTGAAATCAGGTTGCGTCAGTCACCATAAGGAGAAACATCACAGACATGCACGCACCATAGGATTGGAAATAACAGCGCATACAGGATATTATCAGGGTGTAATAAAGAGAATCGTACCAAAGGGATCAGTCTAGGAGTGGAGCACCACGTCCTGTTCTCGTGGGGAAGCAGATATAAACAAAACGGAGACTGTGCAGCGACAACTTGCTGTAGTGTTCGTAAGACTTTGCAGGAAGGATAAACAAGATGCAGTCAGCAAGAACTAGAGGTCAGCTTTAATATCTGCAGCTAATGTTAGTTCAAGTGCAAGAACTTCTAGCGCTGCTTGCAGTGTGTGATGATTGTAATGATCCAAACTTTACCCTTCAAACTTCACCATGTTTGGTAACAAATGGGACGGCCCCAGTGAGTCTACAAGCAGACTGAGAGGTTTAACACTTCATCTTTCAGCCCCTCACAACACAAAATAATCAATTCAGACCAAGATCTCAGACCAGATGTTAAACAATGTGGTGCGTTCGCTGCCCTTAAAAAAACAGGAAACAAAGACCCGGTTTATGTCAGAGTTTGTCTTGACAGTAAACGTTAACAGCCAACAATTCAGGCTAAAACCAAAAGGTCTTAAAACTAAAAATAAAAGAACTCACACATTTTCAGACCGTCACAGTGAATGGATTGATGTGGGAGCAGCACTACATTCTGTTGCATTGTGACGTATCAGAACAGCACATATTTCTCTATTGACAGCCTCTTTAAACAAGCATCAGTCTGCCACGCCCCGTCCTTTATGTTCCTACATAATGATGAACATGCAGCACCCGCGGAAGACGTAAACAGACTCTATGTGACATTAGTTACCGAGCCCGAACAAGTGCCACTAATGATCTTTGACGACGAGCGGTTTCCTCATTAAAGAGAACTCGTTTCATCATGAAAGGAAGCCCTCCCTTCGCTCCTCACATCTCCGAGTCCATTATTCCAGCAGGTCAAGCGTGCTCTCAGCTCCTCTTTGAAGTGAGGCCCAACCAGTGTTTATTCTGCAGGGTGCAAGGATAACATTTAGATAAGAGGCTGCCTGTTTGACACCGGCCTCCAGCGGCTACACACCGCCAGGGTGGGGATGTGAATGGACAGAGTCGGGCGACGGCCTTCAAAACACGCACATACGTTAGCCGCCGCGAGGCTTGTTTAACCGCAGAATCAGCGAGGAAGTCCGGCCCCCCTTCGTACCAGACCTGAGAGAGTCTCTGGGAGCCGAGAACGAGGAGGGTTCCTATTATCTGAGCAGGACAGGCTGTTTTTATCTGCTCTATTATTGCAGAAGGTCTGGTATGTTGTTGTAGGACTGAGCTGCTGGGACCAGAACCAGAGGACAGAT